GGATGAGATGGTTGGATGGCATCACCAACTCAATGGACATGAGTTTGGGTGAATTCCGGGAGTTGGTGATGGACAGGGAGGCCTGGCGTGCTGCGGTTCGTGGGGTGGCAAAGAGTTGGACGCTACTGAGCAACTGAACTGCCTGACTGATTGAATCCTATGCTTTTCAAACTAGTGTAATACCAGGTACAAGATAAGCTCCTTGGGGACAAAAAGAAGTTCCATGGTGAAAATACTGTAGGATATACAGTTGGAGGTTTGAAACACACATTATCATATTTCAAGTCTGGCCACACCCGAACCTTTTTATCTTTTGTTTACCTAATCCTTTTCAAACCAAGCTTAACTAATATTCCATAGAATACACTTTGGGAAAAGCCGGTCACGTGTCACTTCTGGAGCTGTTTTTGTATTTGTCAAAAATAGCTTTCCCAAAGAACTATAAAGGTGAGTATTGGAATATCCTCTTTGCTACACAATGAGGCAGATGCTGGCAGATGATTCCTTTGCTGCCTCTCAAATCAGTTTTCACAGAAAGACACTTATGTTATCTAAGCACAGGATACAAGGTTAGGGGCCAGCTCAATTTCCTCTCTTCCTTTAGCCAATCACAAGTCAATCAAATACATTATTTCTGGCAAGAGCTACATTGACTCACTAGGGTCTAAAAATAACTCTTGACCACATGTAGTACATCTAGATCCTTCTCCAGAATCTAAAATCAATATTCACCAGTTGTAAGGTGTTACTCAACTGTAAGCATTTCCCACTAAATCACACTAATCTAGTAATAAAAGAAGCTCTACAAAATAACAAAAATCCCCACTTCTTTTTTCTTTTTTTGAGTTGTACAGAAATTTTGCCAGCATTTAATGTTCCATCACAATATTTGGCAAATGCACACTGGCATCCATACACTTTAAATCTGAACAGATTTGGGGAGGAACAAGTCCAAAATAATCATTCCAGACTTTGAGAGAGGAAAGTCTGTGCCCTAAAGAACATTTCTAAGATAACATTTTAGCTATAAATCAGATTTACTCCCCAACAGCAATTTTAAACTGCATGTAAAAGAATTAAGAGCTTTAAACAAACTAATCTTAACTCATGTTTAGCCCTGAGAGGAGTAGTCTGGGAAAACAGATTCCATTGCTTGGACATAAATTGATAAAGGTTTCTTTTATGAGTATTGCAATGATAAATATGTATGCCTAGGAAAGCATATGTTTGGGTTCAAGCATATGAGCCCCTATGTGTAGAAATATTTTAAATGTATAAAATACAAGCAAAGAGAAAGAAAACTGGGAAACAAGAGCAGGCTCGGCAGGTATGTCTCAAGGGAACACGTCTGAGTGCAGAGCCTAAATCTTAGCTGGGCCTCCATCCCAGCCCCAGGTCTGGAGTCCAGATTCATGACGTGTGCGGAGATGAGACTGGGGCCAAGACCACGCACAGGTCTTCTGAGAATGGCTAGACCCATCACCCCCGTCCAGCAGATTTGTCCAGTCCTCCAAAGTAACAAAAACAATAACTGAGATCCAGCTGGTCAGAATAGATGTTGATATTCCTCCCTCACCAATTCCAAATAGAATTTTCTTTCCCTTTTGATGAATTCAAATGCAGAATACTGAATTGGTAAATTTCAGTAATCAGCATATCCCTGCCTTCTCATCATCCATTCTTCAGTAACCAAATGCCCCTGACCTAATAATGCCCATAGTCTCCTTTCTCTGGGCCTCCCACGCCCTTCCTGTAGTCCTGATGACCTTTAACCTGTCCTGTAACCTCCCAACTCTCAATCTCCCACAGGGCGAGAACCACCCTGTGTATCACTATACAACCTACCTAAGTTTGCTCACCTAGTGTGTGGGTGTTCAAAACACACTGAATTAATCCATTTCTATCTCAAAATAAGTATGAAAATTCCTTTTCATTCCTTAAAATATTTTAATCTAAAAAGGAATATGAAGGCCATTTAAGAATGGTGACTACATCCCTTCATTCAAAACTTCGTAAAAGTTAATTCCCACAAGTGCTATTAAGCTCATATACTGATCAGATCTCTGCACCCAAAGCCAGGTGCTCGAGGACAACCCAGAGTGGTAGGGGGTAGGGTGGGGGGACACATGTATACCTGTAGCCAAGTCATCACAATATTGTAAAGTAATTATCCTCCAGTTAAATAATTAAAAACAAACAAAGACAGGGCTTTCCTGGTGGCCCAGTGGTTAAGAATTTGCCTTTCTATGCAGGGGACTGGGTGAAACCCTTGGGAAACTAAAATCCCCCATGCCATGGGGCAATTGAGCTCACGTGCCTCAACTAAAGAACTTGCATGCTGCAACGACTGGAGCCCACACACGACAACTGGAGAGTCCATGTGCCAAAGCAAAAACTCACACCTGACCGACTAAAACCAGATGCAGCCAAATATATAAATAAGTTTTTAAGAAAAGACAATAGGCGCCACACGGAGTTGCTCATGCTAAAGCCTCACAAGACCAAACCAAGACTAAATTACAGTTTTGGCTCTTTCAGAAATGAAATCTTAACCCAATCAATTAGGAATCCTCTGGTCAGTACCACATCCTGTAAAAGGCAGTAACTTTGTAATAAGCAACCCATTTTTTGCCTAGTGTAACTTCCCTGTTCCAGCTCCCATCTACCTATAAGTCTTTCATTTTGTACACATCTTAGGAACATCTTTCTATCTGCTAGACTGAATGATGTTCAACTCATGAATCACCAAATAGTCAATAAGATTTTTAAAATTTACTTGATTTTTTTTTAAATTAGTTCCCTGAAGATTCCAACCTGTTCATCTCTTCTTAAAAGATGGTGGAGGGGGAAATCACCCTGTGTTTCTCATGCTGGCTCATAACAGTTTATTGCAACCTTTAAAAATACAATTGGTAGTCATTTTGTATTCTATTTATTAAGTAATACCATCAACTTAGTTTCCTTCATTTAACAAGCAGTAAAGCAGGTAATGTAAATATTTCTTTCTTCACCTTCTTAAAATGAGTTAAGTTGCTGTATTTTGTGTTTAAAAGGAACAAAACATCGAAGGCATTGTGTTATTCAGCAAATGACTGACTCATCCTTTTCCCTAATGTGACCTGAGTGCCTGTTGTGTGCCAGACCTGGCCTTGGTGCTGGAGACACAGCTCTACCCCAAGGAGCCTAGAGCTGGAGAAAGGGACCTGCAGATCTTGACAGACTATACATGTCAGATATTTAAGCAAAAGAATTATGGTTTTCATTTTCAAAAGCATATCACATTTTAACAGTAATATCACTTTACAATTTTGTTTCTAAACTTGAAGACAACAAAAAGTTAACATTTGCTTTCATATGATCTCTTGGAAGAAACAACAAAATCTGAGGAGCAATCTATGATAGAATAACCAAAGGTTCCAATTAAGTAGGCAGGAGAATCACAAATATTTAGATTCTCTTTATCTTTAGATGTCTTTAGATTCTCTTTAGATCTCTTTAGATTCTCTTTATCTAAGATGTCTTGACTTCAATTATCTAAAATAACTGAAAATGAGTTTTCACATATAAAATTTTTCTTAATCTTCAGATACAAATATGAAACTAACTTTCCAAATTTCCAATTCTACATGCTGAATCCTGCCAGAGAACATTCAGTTCAGTTCAGTTGCTCAGTCCTGTCCGACTCTTTGCAACCCCATGGACTGCAGCACGCCAGGCTTCCCTGTCCGTCACCAACTCCCGAAACCTACTCAAACTCATGTCCATCACATCTGTGATGTCATCCAACCAACTCATCCTCTGTCGTCCCCTTCTTCTCCCGCCTTCAAACTTTCCCAGCATCAGACAGCATTACTGAAAATGTTTTCCAGGATCTAGTTTTAGGGTTTTGATGGCAAAATTATGCAAACCTTTCCATTTACATTATTTGAAGGTAAGAAATGTTTCCCATTTTACTAAAAATTTACTATTGATCAGACCATACTCCCTCCATTTGAAGATCAAAGTGTCTCCATGGATCACATATTTTAATCCCATCTCAGTTTGGTTTAAATATCATTATAAAACTATTCTGGCCCTACATTTGAGCGTTTTTACCTGTTTTCTTGCTTTGTCATTAAAAAAAAAAAAAAAAAGCATACCATGCTGATGTAATTAGCCCAGATTACTTTAACCTTTATGGTCATAAGACCAGGTCTTAAAAGTTATATTATTTTCAAAGAGCGAAGAAAAAGAAGGACCAAGGACATTTTTCAAAATATTTCTTTATTAATACCAGATGCGTAACATTTAACATAAATTAAAACGTGCCCTAACACATTCAAGACAATGATGAATAAGATGGTCATGTGAAAACATCCGTTGTAATAAAATCCTGATCGCAAACTACTCATCTCCAAGGGCTAGAACAGGGAGAAAAAAGGGAATATTCCTTTTCCTTAGTAAGACTGTGTGCAGTTTTGAGATGGAAATGCCTGCCAGAGGCGGCTTTATCACCCTCTACCCGCCAGTGTTAACCAAGATCCTTAATATCCCGGCAGTGTGTGTTACCTAATACGCACATACAGGTAGAGATGGGTACCTAGAGCCTCCAAGGCCAATAAACTGGTCCTCTGGAAATTAGGAAACAAATAATAAATGACTTTTCCTCATTTTCTCAATCTCTGCCTTCTGCACCTTATCGTTCTACTCCAGCTTGCAAGGAAGGACGACCTCCTTCCTGAGGCCTCACAGTTATTCCCTACGGTTTTAGGCACAGCGAAGTGGGGGTTGACAGCGGGTTTGCGGGGGCGCAGATTTGCTTGCTGCGCTCCTACCTGCATCGGGGGCAGCCCCTCTGGCCTGGGCTTACCCAGGGGGAGGGGTGTGCAAGGCTGGGGAGGACAGCCAGCCGACAGGGCTTGGCAAGTCCCAGCCCCAGCCCTCCCCCCACGTCCACTTTCCACCCCGGTGCCTCTCGCCCTCCTCTCCCACCGCCGGGCCACCCCGCGCGGCTCCCTTACCCGGCTCGTGGACGCCGGGGCTGTCGGACAGCTCGAGAACCAGCAGCTCGCGGCCCTCGAAGCTGCGCCCCACCGTGTAGATCCTGCTGACCGCGGCGCACTGCAGCCACACGGACACGAGCGCCTCACGAAGCTCTGGGTAGCGGTGGTACTCAAAGGAGATGCCGTCCTCCTGCGGCCGCCGGCGCCGCCTCGAGCCCGCGGCAGGGCCCGCAGCCCCCCGGGCCTCGGCGCCCAGCAGCCAGGCACAGGCGGCCAGCGAGCCGCACAGCGCCAGCAGCGCGCAGCCCCCTCGCCGGACCATCCCGTCCCGCGTCTCCTGTGCGGCCTCCTCTGGGCCCGGAACCTCGGGGCGCACGGCCTGCGGGTCCCCTCGACTCGCCTCCCGGCGGCCTGGAGCGGGGAGGGCAGTGAAGACCTGAGCAGGGACCGCGAGGCAGGAGAGGAGCGCAGGACGCACCGCCGCCGAGTGCGGGACGCAAGGGAGGCGGCGCGGAGCCCGGCGAGGCGCACTGGCGGGGCGGGGCGGGGAGGGCGGCGCCGGCGGCGCCGCCGGCCGGATTCGCGGCTAACCGGGGGCCGCTATGCGATTTGCGGGTTTGGAGCCACGTCAGAGTCAAATGGCGCCGCTAGGACCCAGGTGAGATGACAGCTAAGGTCGGATGTGGGCACGTTGCTGTCAGCATTGAGAGACCGTGACAGTGCCTGTGGGCGGTGTGTGCGGGGAGCCACTCTGAGATTGTTAGTGAGTCTTTTAATGTGCCATCAGTTCCAAGCCGACCAGGTTTCCATCTTGATGCTCCCAAGACTAGAGAATATTCCAGAAAAAAGAAAGAAAGAAACACAAAGGCAGCCACTTGCCTTCTGCCCGTGATGTGTCTTTAATAATTGTACTGATAGTTCAAACACAAACCCACTGGTTGGATGTTCATTGATTGCACGGTCTGTCTGAAAAACAGAACACTGGGCACTTGGATTTAGAGGTTTAGGAAACCGAAAATGCGTTTTATCGATTTGCAGATAGTGTCTTTAATTGTATTTATGCACATACCTGGGTTGTAACAGCGGGGAAGGAAAAAGAGTAAGACAATGTCATCTTCCAGTGCCTGTGCCAACCCTCTTCTGCAGTTCCTGTGGGGAAAGCAGGGTACAGCCCGAGCGCTGGTCAAGGGATTTAGTTGGGTATTAAGGTTAAATCTTTCCAAAACAGCTTTTCCGGGTGCTTCAGGCTCAGAGTCTCTTACCTGGTTGTAACTAAGATGCTGCCAGGACTGCAGTCATCTGAAGGCTTGACTGGGGCTAAAGAATCTTCCTCCAAGAAAAAAAGTTAAAGATCAAAACTATTACAGAAAGAAAACTCTGATCATGAAAGATAATCTTTCCATTCCCCTCCCATAATTATTGCAAAAATATAAAATCATTTATAGCTTTAGATACCCAGCCTTTACACAGAATTTGTAGTGGAATAAATGTTATTCTGAAGAGGTTGCCTTTTGTATTCAATAATAGCACAAATCTAAGTAAATCATCCATTGGGTATTTCAACCAAGCAGGAAAAATAGACATCATGTGAGTAATTTTTTATGTTAAACATTTTTTTTTTGTCTTAACTCATTCTTTTCCCCCTGAACAGTGCAGTGCACAGAATAAAAACTCTCTTTTGGGAATGGATTCATTTAAAAAAAAAAAGAAAAGAAAATGGTGCTGTTTCAAAACTTTCTGACAGCAGCATGGATCTTTTTTGAAATTTTTTGGGATGAACTGCCACTGTAAAGACATGCCACTCAGTTGAATTTGGACCTGGCCATGTTCCTTGTCAATTTAGGCAGAAGGAAGAACCCTATATTTTTCTCAGTGACCAATCTCAGTTTGATTACATGGTTCAAAAGTTTGAAACCAGAGTTATAATTAGATTTCTAAAAACATGCCCCAAAGAACAACCTTGTAAACCTAGAAAAAGAAAACAGTGTAGCTAAAACCAACAACTTCAACAGTGGAAGGTTAAGATTTTCAGGTTAGCAATTTCAGGTAACCACACTAATTTGTGGCAAGATGGGTCATATACTAGTGACAACACATGTAAACAGCATATGGTTTGGTGAAGTCCTGTATTACCCTTAAGTTTCTCTTCAAACAAAGGGTGTGTTTTCTATTTTTCCCCAAATCTCAGTTTTATGGATTTTTTTTTTTTTTTTGCTTTTTTGTAAACAGGTAAGATTCTGCCAGCGCTGTGGTCTCACTTGAAAGGGATCTTTTGGAAGAACCTTAGAAGTTTGTTTTCTTTATCTATTAAAGTGAAATATTTGAATTCATTCAAGTGCAGCAGGGTCATCTAGAGAATTTGTAAAATGTGCAGATTTCTAAACACCCACCAATGCAGAAGGTCTGAGATGGATTTCAGGAATTAACAAGATTCCAGGTTTTAATAAGAATCCAGGTATTTTTTATTTTGATGTTTGATTGATGAACATGCTTCAAACATCTCAAATGCTGCAACTCTGGAAGTTTTCTTTTTGAGAAAAGTTCCTGTTCACCAAACCTCTGGTGAACATAAACCAAGAAATCAATTCACAAGAATTAAAACTTTGTTTTTTAATTTCTGGGCAATTTTAGGTGTAGGTCAGCTTCACTGGAGTGTAATTATTTTTTGTAGTTTCATAGGCAATTGTGTAAAAGGTTATATCCCAATCCTGATTGCTAGATAGAAAATCTTGCATGCTAAGCATTTAATATTTTTGACCCTGTGCATTCATGGGTAAATCTACCCAGGACTGATTTCCTTTAGGATGGACTGGTTAGATCTCCTTGCAGTCCAAGGGACTCTCAAGAGTCTTCTCCAACACCACACTTCAAAAGCATCAATTCTTCTGCACTCAGCTTTCTTTATAGTTCAACTCTCAGATCCATACATGACTACTGGAAAAACCATAGCCTTGACTAGACGCACCTTTGTGGACAAAGTAATGTCTCTGCTTTTTAATATGCTGTCTAGGTTGGTCATAACTTTTCTTACAAGGAGTAAGCGTCTTTTAATCTCATGGCTACAATCACCATCTGCAGTGATTTTTGGAGCCCCAAAAAATAAAGTCATCCACTGATTCCACTGTTTCCCCATCTATTTGCCATGAAGTGATGGGACCGGTGCCATGATCTTAGTTTTCTGAATGTTGAGTTTTAAGCCAAGTTTTTCACTCTCCTCTTTCACTTTCATCAAAGAGGCTGTTTAGTTTTTCTTCACTTTCTGCCATAAGGGTGGTGTCATCTGCATATCTGAGGTTATTGATATTTCCCCCAGCAATCTTGATTCCAGCTTGTGCTTCATCCAGCCCAGCGTTTCTCATGATGTACTCTGCATATAAGTTAAATAAGCAGAGTGACAATATACAGCCTTGAAGTACTCCATTTGCCATTTGGAGCCAGTCTGTTGCTCCATGTATTACTTCCTTCCAAAGCCCTGTCTAGTCATCTACTTCAGAAAGATTCTGTAAACACATAGTTTTATATCTATCTGGTGGTAAATGTTGACTCTCAACTTTCCTTGGGGTATAAAACCTGATTTAGAGTGTTTGCTGATTTCCATCATGTAAATATTCCCACCATGGCTGATTTCAAATTGCCAATGTGACATGACTGAACGCAGCCTTGAAAAGAGGTATGTAGTACCGTACTTTCATTCAAATTCTTTATCTCCTCCCTTTCAAGAGGGAGGGCTTAATTCCTTTCTACTTGAGTGTAGGCAGTAGTGACTTGCTTCTAATGAATGCAATATAGCAGACGTGATAGGATATATCTACAGGTGGTGCTAGTGGTAAAGAACCCTCCTTCCCGAGCAGGAGACATAAGAGACAAGGGTTTGATATCCAGATCAGGAAGATCCCATGGAGAGGGGAATGGCAACCCACTCCTGATTTCTTGCCTGGATAATCCCATGGACAGAGGAGCCTGGAGGTTCATGGTCCATAGGGTCAAAAAGATTCAGACATGGCTGAAGTGACTTAGCACACATGAACGCATTAAAATTAGGTTATGATAAGACTCTCTCGCTCCCCCTCCTTCTCACATCACTTGTCCTGGGCAAGTTGTCTGCTGTGTTGTAGAGATGCTTACACAGCAAGGACTGCAGGAAGCCTCTGTAGAAGCCTAAGAGAGACCTGAGAGCTCTGCACCCAGCAGCCATGAGTTACTGAGGCCTGCCAACAGCCATGGGAACAAACCTGTCAGCCCAGGAAAGCCTGGGAGAGCTGCTTAACTGACAGCTGAACTCCAACCTCCTTAGATACCCTGAGCCAGAACCATCCAGTAAGGCAGCAACAGTTTCCCAACCAACAGAAACTGTTAGAGAATAAATGTGTGTTGTTTCAAGCTGCAGAGACTGAGAATAATTAATACATACAGTTTGCTTCCTAGGTCATGCAGTGTTAAAGAATATACCTGCCAATGCAGGAGATGCAAGTTTGATCCCTGGATTGGGAAGATCCCATGGAGAAGGAACTGGCCACCCGCTCCAGTATTCTTGCCTCAAAACTCCCATGGACAGAGGAGCCTGGTGGGCTACAGTCCAGGAGGCTTGCAAAGAGTGGGATACGACTGAGCGACTGAGCACACGCACAACACATAAACAGTATCTCCCATGTAGATACAAGAGACAGAAACAACCTTGAGCACACAGAGGGTAATACAATATGGCAGAATATGAAGAAGTGATGGGTTTTCATTATTCATTGCCTTTGTTCTTCATTGTTGTTCAATCACTATCATGTCCAACTCTTTGCGACCCCATGACCTCAGCACACCAGGCTTCCCTGTCCTTCAGTATCTCCTGGAGTTTTCTCAAACTTATGTCCATTGAGTCAGTGATGCCATCCAACCATCTCATCCTCTGTCATTCCCTTCTCCTCCTGCCTTCAATCTTTCCCAATATCAGGGTCTTTTCCAATGAGCCGGCTCTTCCTATCAGGTGGCCAAAGTATTAGAGCTTCAGCTTCAACATCAGTCCTTCCAATGAATATTCAGGACTGATTTCCTTTAGGATGAACCGATTTGATCTCCTTGCAGTCCAAGGGGTTCTCAAGAGTCTTCTCAAACACCACAATTCAAAAGCTTCAGTTCTCCAGTGCTCAGTTTTCTTTATGGTCTAACTCCCACATCCATACATGACTGCTGGAACAACCATAGATTTGACTATAGAGACCTTTGTTGGCAAAGTAACATCTCTGCTGTTTAATATGCTGTCTCGATTGGTCATAGCTTTTCTTCCAAGGAGCAAGCATCTTTTACTTTTATGGCTGCAGTCACAATCTGCAGTGATTCTGGAGCCCAAGAAAAGTCTGTCACTGTTTCCTTTGTTTCCCCATCTATTTTCCATGAAGTGGTGGAACCAGATGCCATGATCTAATTTTTTGAATGTTGAGTTTTAAGCCAGCTTTTTCACTGTCATCTTTCACCTTCATCAAGAAGCTTCATATGTGAAATGAATTGCCAGTCCAGGTTCGATGCATGATACAGGATGCTCGGGGCTGGTACACTGGGATGACCCAGAGGGATGGGATGGGGAGGGAGTAGGGAGGGGGGTTCAGGATGGGGAACACATGTACACCCATGGTGGATTCAAGTCAATGTATGGCAAAACCAATACAATGTTGTAAAGTAAAATGAATAAATAAATTTTAAAAAATGAAGCTCATTAGTTCCTCTTCACTTTCTGCCATAAGAGTGGTATCATCTGCATATCTAAGGTTACCGATATTTCTCCCAGCAATCTTGATTCCACCTTGTGCTTTATCCAGCCTGGCATTTCACATGATGTACTCTGCCTGTAAGTTAAATAAGCAGGGTGACAATATATAGCCTTGAGGTACTCCTTTCCCAATTTGGAACCAGTCTCTTGTTCCATGTCCAGTTCTAACTGTTGCTTCTTGACCTGCATACAGATTTCTCAGGAGGCAGGTAAGGTGGTCTCATATTCCTATCACTTTAAGAATTTTCAACAGTTTATTGTGATCTACATGGTCAAAGGCTTTAGCACAGTCAATGAAGTAGAAGTAGATGTTTTTCTGGAATTCCCTTGTTTTTCCTATGATCCCACTGATACTGGCAATTTGATCTCTGGTTCCTCTGCCTTTTCTAAAGCCAGCTGGTGCATCTGTAAGTTTTTCATATAATTTATTTAATTGCAAGTTTATATAATTTATATTTTAATAAATAATGACTGTGTTTAACAAGTGATTCATAAGATTCCTTCAGTTTTACCATCACCTCTTGCAGGTGTCAACCAAGAAACCCAGAAGTTGCAAATAAGGAAAGCGTTATCTGGAGGTCCTAGAAACTGCAGTACTGGAGACACAGATTCAGGTAAAACTGAGAGTTCAAAGTAAGAGAAGGAGTCAGGGGTGTATAAAGGCAAAAAGCACAAGATTGTTAAAGTTTTCTGGCAAAAATCATGATGAACTTTGATGCAAGAAGGAGATATTTTTCCTTAAAGGATAGGATGTCAGAGTTATTTAGGGTAAGGGTCCAATAAGCATCTTGAGTTTCTGGGACATTGGTCAGATGTTCTGGATGCTGAAGTTAAGAGAGTAAGTGGTCAAAAGGACAGATTCCATCCAGAGTGACTTCCTCGCTGGCCTTGAGGCTTTGTCCCAGAGCTCTCTTAGCTGTCTCACAGCTCTCAAGCTGTGCTTGACTTTCCTCCCACACAGGATGATTCCACTCTTCCCTACGCAGGCCCCACTCCTGACTCAGCAGGACCCCTTTCAGCCTGGCCCTCCTCTGTGGTTCCCCGTAGAGGCGAGGTTGCATTGAACTTCAGGGTTCATGAACTTTCCACATCAGAATCACCTGGTGAGCATGGCCACATTCTGGACCAGTTGAATACAGTTTTCTGGGGCTGGGGCTTAGAAGTCTGCATTTAAACAAGCTCACCCCACCCGCATCCTCTCACGGGGACCGTGGTGCATAATAGGATTAGAGGAATACTGTCTGGTTAAGGAGACTAGTGTTGAGGTTTGACAGACAGCATTCTAATCCCAGGTCTGTTTATTCCTAGAAGCTACTCCATGACTTCACCCTAAAATAAGGGACACAGCATTCCATGAACTCATAATAATGCAAGCAAAGGGAAGCAGAGTCAAAGAGAGAAGATGCTATCCTGCTGGCTTGGAAGAGGGAGGAAAAGGCCACCAAACCAAGGAATGCTGGCAGACACTAGAAGATGAAAAAGAAACTAAGCCCTTTTTTCCACCCAGCTTCCATGCTAAATAAATAAGAATTTATCTCCATGTAAACTCACTTCATTTTCTGTAAAAGATCTCAACAGCCACACTGTTCTCTTTCTGACATGGGGCGTGTGGATGCCCCACGGGTGGGCATGAATCAGGAGGGCAGCAGTTTTCAGGTCGCTACACTCATACTCATGCAACTCGAAAGTGCCCAGGCCAGACAGCACCTCAAGGAAGGGCCTCTGGGCCAGCAGAGACTGCAGGGAGCTCAGCTTCTGGTCCACAGAGCCGAGCTCCACCTTTGTGGCCATCCTCCCCTGCCTCCCAGCTGGTGGGCACAAGAGGAGTGCTCACTGCAGGGGCCTTCTGAGCTCCTTCCCTCCCTGCCAAGACAGTCTCCAGCCATGGTCAGGGGCCAGTCCTCTCACTGGTCTGGCAGCACCACTCAGTCAGCCTGCTTTGGAATCCGTCCTCCTTACCATGAACTCCCAACACACTGCAGGGCTTTCCTGGCAAGCCCTGGAGAAACTCTGACCAAATTCTTCTTCGCTTTCTCTCCTCCACGCCATGAAGCCTGTGTCCCTGACTTGACCAGGGCTGCAGCTGGTCTCATGGGTCTCCCATTTTTCCCATTTCTCATTTTTTTCATCATTGGGTTGTGTGCAAACGAAGCATCAGGCAGGTGTCCCCAAAATAGTCATGGCACTTCTAATTGTCACTGTGTAATTAATAAAACAAAATTGAATAAACTGATAAATACAAGAGTACAAAAAAGTTGAATGCCTTGGAAACACTTGAATTTTAAAAATGGAATTAGGTATGAATAAGAAAACAGTGAAAGACTGAGGAAAAGATAAAAAGTCTCAAAAGACACTGCTTTTAGATTTGTTCAAAAATCTTACTCTAAAACATGGTAGAAAACATGGGGAGAAGTTCTCATCCCAACAACCAAACCCAACAGGTGGATAAACAGACACTTACGTTTTAAGTTCAAATAAGTTACTTAAAGTGTGCTTTCTTCTTCTTTTTAAATGACTCTCCTCTTTAACTGATCCTTTCATTAAATACCCACTGCATATTCCAGTTGTATCAGCTTAGTGGGTGGATGTACCATGCAGACATTTAACAGACACAGCACTCTGAACCCACCATGTGAATCAGTAAGATAAAACTCCCATTTACAGCTATCACAGTCTAAAACCTAATAACCAGCTCAAATTAAATATAATTCAAAGGATTTATCACTGTTATTGTACAGATCTATGTGTGCGTGCAAAGTTGCTTCAGTCCTGTCTGACTCTTGGAGATCTTATGCACTGTAACCTGCCTAGCTCCTCTGTCCATGGGATTCTCCAGGCAAGAATATTGGAGTGGGTTGCCATGCCCTCTTCCAGGGAATCTTCCAGACCAGGGATCAAACTCTTGTCTCTTGCATCTCCTGCTTTGGCAGGCAGCACCTGGGAAGCATTCTACAGCTCAAGGGCTCAGTCACTTCAGTCGTGTCAGACTCTTTACAACCCCATGCACTGTAGCCCGCCAGGCTCCTCTGTCTGTAGGATTCTCCAGGCAAGAAGGCTGGAGGAGTTGCCATGTCCTTCTCCAGGGGATCTTCCTGACTCGGGGGTCGAACCTGCATCTCTTATGTCTCTTGCATTGGCAGGTGGATTCTTTACACCTGACCCACCAGGGAAGCCCCTTCTACAGCCCTTTCTATACCAATTTCTCTGTATCCCAATGGCCACCCCAGTGTTTTTGATCTCCCAGCAGCACAACTCAACACAAACACATTATGAGTCACATATGTTATTTTGAACTTGCTAGTAGCCATGTTTCTTAAAAAGAGAAGAGAGGAAATAAATTTTAATAATAATTTTAACCCAATATATTCCAAACGCTATCATTTCAACTTGAAAACAGCATAAATTATTAATGAATATTTTTCATTCTAAGTCTTCGAAATTGCTTGTGTAATCCACATTATAACACATCAGCACAATTCAGACTATCCGTATTTCCTGAGCTCACAGCTCACAAGTGGCTGGTGACAGCTATGTTGGACAGGTGAGCTATCCTGCTATTCTTATATTCCTATCTTATAAAATTATTCCTTCTGCTTTATTTTCCCAGATAATGCCTTAGCACAGGCTCTGGTTATTTCTTGCCTGGACTATGGTAACATTCTCCCCTGAAGATTATTCCTCTCATCAGCGGTTAACCTCAGTTGCTAATCTTGCTGCCAAATCCACCTTTTCCCTCGTTTACCTGGATTATGCCATCCACCATCCTGCCCTGTCCATCACTCAGTGGCTCAATGCCAAAGCTGTGATCCTCCTCCTCAGAGAATTTCCTTAGAGAGCTCACTTCTTGTGCCTCCTCCTGCTTCTTTCACTAGCACATTTTCTCTCTCAAATGCCTGCTCCATCACCCCTCAAACCACAACACGTTTATGTCTACTCTTTCCTTACCCCTGCGCTGTCCCTTTCTGCTCCCTAGTCCAGCCTCAATCCACTAACCTACTCCTGTTCTCACTTCCCCACCAAGCACTCTCCCCCTCTCCTGAAATTGCAGCTGTCTGCTCTCCTTGCAAAGAGAGAGCAACTCTCCTTGACCAACTCTCTTCTCTCCTCTAGAAAACACTGAAATTCTCACTTCTTACTTTCCCCATTAGTTATCATCCAATGCTTCAACTTTCTCACAGCACATCCTCTCTCCCATGTGAACTCTCCTCTGTGGGTTCTGGCCCCACCCAGACTGAACATCTCCTGGCCTTGCCTGGGCTTCCTCAGGCCTGCACTTGGCCTGCTGTCCTGCTCCCTCTTCACATGCTCCGTCTGGGTGACCTCATCCTTGCTCATGGTATCAATTATCACCTCTCTGTTTGTCACGCCTAAGGTTGAGTCCTTTATGCATTCCCTCCCACTGAGAGGCAGAGACTGGCCTGGCTTGTGTGTTTGCCTCCACAGCCCAGCACAGAGGGCCACGGCCACCAGGACTCAACACACTTGCAGACAGTGGGTAAACTGCTAACTTGCTACCGGCTGCCTTCTACTTTTGGCATTGAGACTAATGCTGTGTTTTTAATGCTCTGATTACTCAGTGAATTCCTGGGCTCTTTCATTCTTCTGCAGGTTCCCTTCCTTGGTTTGACACAACCAGTGTCCTCTTCAATCATCAACCACATGCACTAAGTTGTTTGCATATAACAAGACATTTACCATGATCTCATTTTATCTGTGTAATTCAACATAGTTCCTATCTCCGTCGACATTGTTGTTGTTCATGTGGTCAATATAAGTAACTGCATCACACATATAGTATGCAAAAGAGAAAGGTGGGTTTTTCTATGATGTTCTTATCTTTGGAAACCAAATTACTGAAATGAAAATCAAATTGCCATTTTCCATCATGTAAACCTCTCAAAGAATAATTGATTTTCCCTTCAACTGCTGGAAGCCAATCAACATGAATAATTCATGACAACTTCATACACAGGATGCCAACTTTATGGAGCTTAGGAATATTAAACATTATGTAGATCATGATGAAGTACTGAAACTCCTCATTACAAACAATAAACATGCCTTATCTACTACATAATATTTCTTGTATCTTTTTAAATCTCAAATGTCCAAGAAAGAAAGTTGTTCACCTCTTAGTTTTGCCACCCCATAGACTGTAGCCCACCAGACTGCTCTGTTTATGGAATTTTCCAGGCAAGAATACAGGAGTAGGTAGCCATTCCCTTCTCCAGGGGATCTTCCTACACAGGGATCGAATCTGGATCTCCTGCATTGCAGATACAGTCTTTACTTTCTGAACCACCAGGGAACCCCTTTATAGAACATATGAAATGTCAAAGTGAAACAGTCTCTTACCTGTGGAAGCTGCCCATTTTCCTGCAAACTCAAAATTATTAATATAAGTAAATATATGTTGCACCCACACATATAAGTTAAGGTGTCTTCTGCCTTGGCCAACATTTGGAAGCTTCTGCTTCTAGAGGGACTGACCAAGGTGCTAATGAGATTGAAATTGAGGCTGACTGATGACTCCAGTACAGAGAGGAAAACAAGTAAGTCAACAAGCAAATTTCTCACTCATTACCAGGACTGTACCTTTAATTTCAAAGAACCTTTGTGGATAGCAACAAACCCACTGAAGGAATGACTTACATCATCCTGTGGGTGAGTGAGAAGTCAGTCACATCATTATTTGCAAAAGAAAAAAGTATAGCACATTCATCAAGTGGGTGCTCAAACACTGTTCATAGACATCTGTGACTTTAACATGGTACAGTTTCAGTCATTGCTATTATGCACCTCGGTGTGGATTGACTAGTCTTTGAAGTTAAATCAGACTTTTCCTACACCCCATACATAGGACTGGGATTCGGCTTTTTGTTGAAAAGTAACTCATAGGTTGAGTCTTGCTCCAAGTCAAAGAAGAAAGCAGTTTGGCTTAATCCTCTCTCAGTTGTGTGATATACTCCACGACTCTACATCCAGAGAGGGAGAGGGCAGACGAATACACCAGGAGAGAAGGGGCCAAGAAGTCTGGAGTGGTGGCTGCCCAGAAGGTTCTGCTGGCCAGTCATGCCTTCCTGTGACTGCCTTAGCAGACTGCCCCTTTAGGGGACATCCCATGGTGAAAGGCAAAGAGTGTAGTTGAGAACCTAGGTGGGATTCGGGTAAGAGAGGAAGAGCGGGGTGGGAGGAGAGAAATAGTGAGACAGAGAGGAGGGCAAGGGGGAGAGTGAAAAAATAAGAGGAAGAGAGGAAGAAAACAAGCAAAAGTGAGGCAGGTGAAAGTCTGGTAATCT